CACGTCTGTACCATTTTTGTCATGACAAAATAAACGATTCTGTTACTGCTGTCATTTTGACTCTTTCAAGCGTCTCTATTGCTCCAAGGATCTCATCAGATAAGGAGGTCATAAAGCATGTCCTTCAACAAAACATGGAAATATAAACTGTTAGACCTTTAAAATACCCCCTTCCAAGTTTCTTTCAAAATTGTCCACTTTCCTTTTAGAATAGAAAGAGACCATATGTTTGGAAAGTTAAAAATGGTTTACTTACAAACTCTTCAAAGGTCAGGTTCATGTGTACTTACATACACAGCAGCAAGAAAACACAGGCAGTGCAACTTACCTTCAAAAATGGTAAGAGTTTCTAATTTATTTGTATAGAAACACAAAGATACCTTGCTTAAGCCACACGGTCTGGGCTTGGAGAATCTAGCTCAGACATCCTTACTGGAAGAGTTCACATGGTGGAAAGATGTGGAAAGAGGGAGAACAGAGTTTGGTAGCCCTTTCTCCCAAGATGAGGGCGTGGGAACTAGCTAAGCCTGGCAGGACTGCTTACTCTATGGTCTTAACCCCTTCATGCATTAGGGTTAACAATGTTGGTTATATGAGGCTTATTTATCCTACAAACACTCCATTCCCTCACCTTCTTCTGACTCTCAAAGCACTTTTATGTGTGTCAAGTTACATTCTGCATCACCACAGCTGTTTCCAAGGCAGATTTAGCAGACTGAAGTTTATGCTTTGAATACTTTGTCAACTAACACTCCAAAAAGAGCCAATCCTTGCCTATCAAGCCTTGCCCATGGAACTTGTTCCTCAGTCTACACAACTGGTCTCTTGCGTTAGCACATAGCTTAAGCACATGCTCCCTTTCCCTTCTGGCTATGTTGAGCTTTGAATCCTTGGTCAACAAGCTATGCATCTGCTTCTGGCCCTTCCCAGTTGCTGAGGAACAGAAGTGGTGGCAGAGAAAACTGCCCTCAGGCCCTGTTTGGGCTTCTGTAGGCATCTAGTTGGGCATTGTGGAAAACAGGATGTGGAGCACAGTAAGCCTTTGGTCTGATCCAGCAGGGCTCATCTTAGGTAGGTGATATGAAACAGAATTTTGAAACAACAACAACATCAACAATTCAAACCTATATTATCCAAAAAGGCATATGCCAGGTGTATTTTGAGATTCACTTCTTTCCCAGTTAAAAAGTTCCCCGAATAACTAATGAGACTGAATTGAATATTTTCAAAGAACTCCTGTGTGACTCTTGAGGAAGAGTTCTTTGTCGGAATGGGCTGGAGTGATTCTGCTCCTTCTAGAATTATAAAAACATTTCTGTGAGCTGTTTCTTTCTTCCTTTCGGCATTTCTCCATCAGTTGTTATTCTGGTTTGGTCCTCTTCCTTCTCTCACACGCATTGTGCCCTTTTGGTGGCTCTCTCATCTCCCTGCAAAAAGAAAAAAGCATGTACCTCTGCTTTGTACCTTAAAACAGACCTCCCAGCAGTAAGTTGAGTAGTAGGCTATGCATTGTGCGTTCTCGTGAATGAACTTTTCTGAACATGTTCCCAAAGCTCTTTTATTCAGGCTTAGAAGATGTTCAGAGAGGTTTTACTTGAAGAGGTATTAAAAAAAACAACATCCTGAATGCAACAGATGTATATTCCCTTTAGTTCCTTTCTTCCTTTTTAGATAATCAACATTTCTGAGTTTCTCCATATTGTTTATGTTTAAAGCAACTGCCTTAAAAGAACATACTCTGGGACATGCAAATGTGCAGGACATGCTCTAGCTTCAGGAATTTTGAGTTGTCTTCAACTAAATCTTATTAAGACTAGACCAATTTACATTAATTAACCTAAGTTGGTCATGTCCACAGCTTCAGTGGGTCTACTTTGAGTATGCCTAGTATTAAATACCAGCCAACTAGAGTACTACAATTCAAATGAAAATATGCCATAGACAAGAGTGTGACCAGGTGATCTACAGGCCTGATCATCTGCTGTCCGGGAGCTAAAAACATATGCACAACTTCTGTTGAAGTATTTGGACACGAGAAGGGGTCATAGAATCATAGAATCATAGAGTTGGAAGAGACCACAAGGGCCATCGAGTCCAACCCCCTGCCAAGCAGGAAACACCATCAGAGCACTGCTGACATATGGTTGTCAAGCCTCTGCTTAAAGACCTCCAAAGAAGGAGACTCCACCACACTCCTTGGCAGCAAATTCCACTGTCGAACAGCTCTTACTGTCAGGAAGTTCTTCCTAATGTTTAGGTGGAATCTTCTTTCTTGTAGTTTGGATCCATTGCTCCGTGTCCGCTTCTCTGGAGCAGCAGAAAACAACCTTTCTCCCTCCTCTGTGTGACATCCTTTTATATATTTGAACATGGCTATCATATCACCCCTTAACCTCCTCTTCTCCAGGCTAAACATGCCCAGCTCCCTTAGCCGTTCCTCATAAGGCATCGTTTCCAGGCCTTTGACCATTTTGGTTGCCCTCCTCTGGACACGTTCCAGTTTGTCAGTGTCCTTCTTGAACTGTGGTGCCCAGAACTGGACACAGTACTCCAGGTGAGGTCTGACCAGAGCAGAATACAGTGGCACTATTACTTCCCTTCATCTAGATGCTATACTCCTATTGATGCAGCCCAGGATTGCATTGGCTTTTTTAGCTGCCGCGTCACACTGTTGGGTCAATTTCCTTCATGAGCATAAATCACCCCAGGGATGAACTAATCAGAGGCACAAGGTCAGCCAAGCCAGTTGCGATGGTAATGGCCCAGTGCCGCGACTATATCTGTGATTAATGCATGTCAGCTCAGTGTGTCAGTTTGTTAGTCTGCAGTTAGCCTGTCTGTTAGTTGGTGTTACTTGTCCAGTATTACATCTTGAATTGCTGAAGTTATTTAGAGCAATGGAGATATTTGTATGTATTTGTATATATCTGTATCCGCAAAAGCCTACAAGTTGTGCATATCTATGTCCAGAACTGTTTTACTGAGCCTTATCTTCTGCAGTAGTAAACTATCTGAACCTTTTTCTGCTTCTGTGTGGTGACTGGTACTGGGATCAACTTCCACTGCATGGGTATCTCACCTGAGATTCTCAACCAGTTCAAGGCACCTGGTCTTTTGCCTGATGTTTATCTTTAAAATGGGTTTGGACCAGGCAACCCTTCAAACAGAAGACCTTTGGGTGCCACAAAGGACAGTGTACCATTGAAAGTAAGATTGAACTGCCTGTCTAGTCGGCTTCTGTAAGTGAACTGTAGGGTGCCATCTTGTCTTTTCCTTTGGGAAATTAAATGCTCAGAGTCACCCTTGTCCTGAACACGTGGAATGGTGGTATTCCAGTACCAGTTTGAAATACATCTGTTCTCTTGGACATCTGGTGATTGAATTTCTAGGTTTCAGGAGGTGTGGAACCACTGCTGCCATTCGTGATGGTTTTATAACCGATCAATGCTTTTAATCGTTGCTTGTCTGTAGTTGTTGTGGAATTTTAGGAACCAGAATCTGCCCTTCTTCCTCCACTGACTGCATTAAAACCACCAACTGCTGTGAACCCGGAGGCTTCAGAATTCTTTAGATGTCCATTTCCAGTGTAGCATGCCTAGGAATATTGAGGGCAAAGACAGATGTAATATTTATACAGTTGTCACAGCAGGTTCTTCACCTGCTGCGGGATCCTGCAACTTGCTATGCACACATACATACCACGAAGTCAGTTGCTAAATCAGCTGTTAGCCTGTCCAGGCTTCACAATGGACACCCATTCTTTCTGAAGTAGCATAGGTGAGATTATTTCCATTTTTAGCCTTCATCTAATTTTTTTCATTTTAATTACAAACTTTTTTTTTTTAAATAGTGCAAAAACTGCTCTGGGTAGTAGGGCCGGGAGCATATTGGTGATATCGGAGATCGTAGCTTATTATTAGTGCATTCCATATGCAGTTTGTACTGTTAGCTTGCAAAACCAGTTTTTCCAGAGCGTTTCTAAAGGACGAAAGGTGCATTGCTGAATGTGGGCTTCCAAATCAGCCCCACCACACTAAAATAATACGAAATCTTTCTTATTGCTTTCAGAAGATTTACTTCAGAGGCACTAAATGCAAATGGGTGGCATAAGCTGAGTTTAATTTACACGAAAGAGGGTTGAAAGAAGCTCAAATTAATATGGTTTAAGTTTTTGTTTTCAAGGAAATGAAATCCAGCTTTCTTTTCTCCTTTTTGGAGTTGGCTGCTGTCAAGAATATAATTAGGAGTGCGTCCAAAAGAAAAGAGGCTGGAGCAGTAAATGGAAATATATTTAAATTCTTTTCCCCTTAAAACAGAAGCTTGAAAAGTAACTGAAACCACAACTTTACACTAAATTGCCGTTTTGTTTTTATGCAAATAAGAGTAAAACAAAAGATATATTTCCACACTGCCAGGTTGTTTTGCATACTGTGTCCCCACACTTATTTACATATTTGATGCGTGTATTCTATTCTTTCCAGCCTTCTAAACCCAGTCTTGTCCAGAGGTGTAGATTTTCCATCAGTTTGGCACTTTTCCCCATAGGAATCTTAAGAATTCTAGATACGGAATCCAGATGGGCATTTCCAAGGATCCATTTGTCTCCAGAGGTGTTCAAACCACTTCTCAGCAGCTCTGCTGTATTTTAAAACTGTTCCGCATTTGTGAGATAAGGCCTTAATGTGTGAGTACAGTTGTAAGGGCATTGGGTTCTTCCTTGTAATCAGAAGACCTGGGCAGATCAGAGCTCCTGCTTGTGACGTACATTAAACTTGTTCTTTGCTAATGCAGAATGCACAACTGTAGGAAGGTGTGTGTGTGTGTGTGTGTGTGTGTGTGTGTGTGTAGAACTTTTAAAAAATGTAACCTGCAGTTGTCTAACAGGGGAGACAAGCATTCCATTGTTTAAAAGCTCAAGAAGCGTCTTATTTGTATGTTGGATGGAATTTTTTGTTTCTTTAACCGTGCACATATTCGAAACAAAAAAATAAATAAAAATCCTTCCAGTAGCACCTTAGAGACCAACTAAGTTTGTTCTTGGTATGAGCTTTCGTGTGCATGCACACTTCTTCAGATACCACGAAAGCTCATACCAAGAACAAACTTAGTTGTTCTCTAAGGTGCTACTGGAAGGAATTTTTAAATTTTGTTTTGACTATGGCAGACCAACACGGCTACCTGCCTGTAACTGTGCACATATATATAAAATGTTAAGAGACAAATTAATCCCAGGGTCAGTGGCGGAGCACTGGGTGGAGTGAGCCAGGGCAGGATGATCTGCGTGGCCTCCGAGGAGTCCGCCTGCCTCGTCCCACCCAGCCGCCCGACAGCTGAGGGGGAGGCGGCGGGCAGACCGTTTGGGGCAGCGCAGAGCCTGCGGGCGCCCAAGCCACCACGTCACTCCCAGGAGAGACGTGTGGCTCAGGCGCGCTGCAGGCCCCTCAGTGGTGACACCCGGGGTGGCTTGCCCCCACCGTACCCCCCTTCCTCCGCCCTTGCCTGGGGTTACTTATCGCTCTTCCTTCTGACTCTGTATGAGAAAGGCCTTGTTCACCTTTCAGTTTGGTTTGTGATTTCCAGGCACAGGTTCCTAGAGGTTTTCTTTTGTCCTGCTGCTTTCCTTGGGAAAACCCGCTGATAAATTGCAGAATCAGAACAAATGTCAGTCAGGTTTCCTGCTGTCAATCGGGACAAATGAAGAAAACACAGGGTGTTGTGTCATCACTGTGAATATTGTGGTTTTGGGATCACAGGGATGTGAGCATCAGCAGAAAAAAGGAGCAAAAGCCATACATTGTTGTTGTTTTTTTAATTTATGGAGTTGACAAATGAAAAATTGGCTGGTTGTTTAAGATTTTGTATTACAAGGTCTACAAGTGCTGAATTTTGTGGATGGAACAGGATTGCTAAACATTGCATCAGGATCCTTTTCTGGAATTTTCACCAACTAAAATTATGACTGGGAGGTAGCTCTAATTTCTTTACTGAGATCACTATTAAGAAGGAAAATCAGCTACCTTAGAAGGGAGGATTTTCTATTCCCATCAGTTTTAGGTGGCATGGTCAGTGTGTGTAACCCTGCTCCCCCATTCTTTGAACACATGACAGGGTAATGTGAGCATCTCAAGGTGGCAGCCTCCTTGTGTCCTTCAGGATATGCAAACCTTTTTGGTCCCACTGTTTTGGTCCTCAAACAGTCTGGTGGAACCTACCTTCTCTGATTTCTGTTGGGTATAAGCAACCTTGCATGTCTCCAGTCAGTAGAGAGCAGAGTAGAAACTAAAAGACAGTCAAAGGAAAGTACACTCCGTGGTTTTTCCTTTCTGAATTCCCAAGCTCCACCCTTCCTCTTCCTTAAAGGTAAAGGGTAAATGGACCCCTGACCATCAGGTCCAGTCGTGGCCGACTCTGGGGTTGCGGTGCTCATCTCACTTTATTGGCCGAGGGAGCTTCCGGGTCATGTGGCCTGCATGACTAAGCCGCTTCTGGCAAACCAGAGCAGTGCACGGAAACGCTGTTTACCTTCCCGCCGGAACAGTACCTATTTATCTACTTGCACTTTGACGTGCTTTCGAACTGCTAGGTTGGCAGGAGCAGGGACCGAGTAACAGGAGCTCACCCCGTTGCGGGGATTCGAACCGACGACCTTCTGATCAGCAAGTCCTAGGCTCTGTGGTTTAACCCACAGCACCACCCGCGTCCCTCGTAGACCACTTACCTGAAGCCTATTTTGGCATTAAGCGGTATATAAATTAATGTTGTTGTTGTTTAGTTGTTTAGTTGTGTCCAACTCTTCTTGAGATTAATAACTTTGTGGATTAATTAGAAACTAATAACTAATAATATTTCTACTCTCTCTGTGAAACTATCAATTTTGAATTATTTAGCATCTGTACCCCCGTGTTCTTCAGTTCCTTTCAAGTTTTTTTAAAAAATGAATGTTCCTTTTCATCATGATTTTGAACCGCTGACCTTTTGATCAGCAAGTCCTAGGCTCTGTGGTTTAACCCACAGCACCACTCGCGTCCCTTCCTTGCTTTCTCTCAATTCCCTCCCTCTTGCACAGGGATCCCATGAAACCAGCTCTAGTCATGTAACTTAGAATCCAAAGCCATCCTTGTGAATATTAACCATTAGAACCTTTCCCCCCTTCTAAATCTGTGTTTTATTTTTCCTTTTAGTAGATGAGAGCCAGTGTGGTGTAGTGGTTAAGAGCGGTAGTCACGTAATCTGGAGAACCGGGTTCGCGTCTCCGCTCCTCCACCTGCAGCTGCTGGGTGACCTTGGGCTAGTCACACTTCTTTGAAGTCTCTCAGCCCCACTCACCTCACAGAGTGTTTGTTGTGGGGGAGGAAGGGAAAGGAGAATATTAGCCGCTTTGAGACTCCTTAAAGGGAGTGAAAGGCGGGATATCAAATCTAAACTCTTCTTCTTCTTTTAAGCAACACTAGTGATGTGTGAATGAGACAGCTCCAAGGAACTCCTGCTTCCAATCTTTTAAATTCTGTACATATAAACTATAAGCCAACCTATTTTTATTTTTAAAAGCCTATCAATTTCCTGGTGCATTCATGGGCTGAACCTAACACCAGACTGTTCGTTCACCCATACCTGATTCTCCTTTCTGTGGATTTAGAACAGTGATGAGCAGCCCGCAGCCTTTCTGATGTTGTTGGATTACAATTTCCACCATCCCTGGCCTCTGGCAGTACCGGCTGGTGCTGCTGGGAGCTGGGCTCCGTCAACATCTGGAAGGTCATCAGTTCCTTGTCCTTCGCTTCAACCTGGAGGCAATTGTGACTCAGCACAGGGGACAAGGCAAGTAGCTGTTTGCAAATGTGTTATCACATTCTGGAGAAAAGTGTGCTGTGGTTTAATGAATGTCAGACCAGAAACAGTCAGCCCTTGACTGGGAGCAAAGGTAATTGGTTGCAATTGCACACAATCCCACTCCTAGCTGTGGTTGCAGCAGTTTGTGTTGTTCTAGTGGAGCCCTTGTAAAGGAAATCCAGAATCTCCTAGTCCTGTACATTTATTGAGCTAAGCCATCAAGTTTCCCTTTTTTCTTAACGAGCTGCCTCTGTCTTTTTCACCGGATGCACTCATGACAGCTAACCTGGCTGGCTCCTAACAGCTTAATTAATGCCTCTGATGTACTGCTCTTTCCTAGACTCCTTTCTTTGCTCCTGACAACCATTCTGCTGTCTAATAACTTGCTTCCCCTCACATTTCTAAAAGTAAGCCGCACAGACAAAAATAAGGCTGAACTTGAGAGACAGGGCTGTGAATAGTAATGAGAGCACACACACAGACGTCACACAAGCTTCTTCCTTCTCCCAGTTCTCTTCCTTCGTCCCCCGCAAAAACTAGAGGAAGCTCAATACAGGAACAGCACAGAGACTCAAGCAAGTTAGGAGATATTTTGCATCTTTGCAAGACTGCAAGGGATAACAACTGAAAGAGGGACAGAGGCAAACCAACAGGAACACAACTGGAAGACCAATCAATCCATGATCAAACCCCAAATGTACTTAGGGAATGAATTATTGTACTGAGAAAGGCAGTAATGTTGCATTGTCATAATAAAATTAGAACAAAAGCACAAAGCACTGCCTTGGTTCCTAGAGACCAACAATATGGGGAACGGGGAATGCTGCGCTGAATCAAATTAGCAACAACTACGACGACTATTAGGGACGCAGGTGGCGCTGTGGGTTAAACCACAGAGCCTAGGACTTGCCAATCAGAAAGTTGGCGGTTCGAATCCCTGCGACAGGGTGAGCTCCTGTTGCTCGGTCCCAGCTCCTGCCAACCTAGCAGTTCGAAAGCACGTCAAAGTGTAAGTAGATAAATAGGTATCACTCCAGCGGGAAGGTAAATGGCGTTTCCGTGCGCTGCTCTAGTTCGCCAGAAGTGGCTTAGCCATGCTGGCCACATGACCCGGAAGCTGTACACCGGCTCCCTCGGCCAATAAAGCGAAATGAGCGCCGCAACCCCAGAGTTGGTCACGACTGGACCTAATGGTCAGGGGTCCCTTTACCTTTACCTTTTACGACGACTATTGTTGTTTTTGTTTAGTCATTTAGTCGTGTCCGAGTGTTTGTGACCCCATGGACCAGAGCACGTCAGACACTCCTGTCTTCCATTGCCTCCCGCAGTTTGGTCAATCTCATGTTAGTAGCTTTAATAATAATAATAATAATAATAATTTTTTATACCCCACCCTCCCCGGCCAGAGCCGGGCTCAGGGCGGCTAACACCAGTAAAATTACAATAAAAAAACCAATTTAAAATACAGGTTAAAATATAATTTAAAATGCAGCCTCATTTTAGTAGTAGCCCATAGATCAACACTGTCCAACCATCTCGTCCTCTGTCGTCCCCTTCTCCTTGTGCCCTCCATCTTTCCCAACATCAGGGTCTTTTCCAGGGAGTCTTCTCTTCTCATGAGGTGGCCAAAGTATTGGAGCCTCAGCTTCAGGATCTGTCCTTCCAGTGAGCACTCAGGGCTGATTTCCTTCAGAATGGATAGGTTTGATCTTCCATAAGATGCAGTGTGGAACCTTCCCCTTCAGTGCTCATATGCCAACAAGCAACAAGGAGAAGGGAGCTCTTCCTAACTACAGTTGGTGCATCCATGTTTCTGGATAGTGCTAGCTTAGCCACTGTCATTTCATGCATTGGTAGCTGCGCAACTGGATTACCATAATGTGCTCTGTTGGGGCTGCCCTTGAGGTTGATTTGGAAGATGTAGGAAGTGCATAATTTGCTGGCCTAGACACTAAATGGACTTCCTGGCGCTGGTGGCCCGTTAGCTGCTGAGCCATCTTCAAGTTGTTGTTAATATATAAAGCCCTGAGCCACACAGGTTGCCTAAAGGGTTGCCTCTCCATATAAAGCACCTAGTAGTTCCCTGAACTCCCCAGAAGTGGCCTTGCTGATGACACTATGATCTGCAGAATGTCATGTGGCAACAACATAGGAAAACGGGATGTTATCTGCATGGCAATGTCTACTGCTGAGACTTGGGAGGCATTGACTGTTATAAACATCGATGTTGGGTGAGCGAGAAGTCACTAGTTTTGCTGAATTGGAATATAATGGTTGAGTAACAAATGTAACTTTCTATATGGGGAAAAAGAATAAAATATTATTATTAAAAAATAGGAGTATGCCACATTGAACACAGTACTTGTGAGTAAACATGTACTGGTATATAGGTGAAATATACTTGGAGTCGAGTGTGAATTTCATGCTCTTTATTCAGTTTGTAGTAGCAGTGAACGAAACTTTCCCCAAAACATCTAGCTAATTCCAGGCTGCTCCTGTAGGCCAATCAGGTTGCGGATTCACTTCCTTCAGAAGACTGATTGGCTGCTCCGGCAGGTCAATCAGGTCACTGATTCACTTCCACATGGAGCTGGATTGGGTGGCTCCTGCGGACCAATCAGACTGCTGCATTCTGGATCCTATTGTTCTATGATTCAGCTCAGTACATAACAATAGGATTGCACTAATGTGAGTGGACATTTATTTAGCTATACAGTTGTACAACTGAATGGCTTGGAGCAGTGAAGAAAACCCACGTGGTGTGTTATTTCTCTATATCTCTGTTGCCTCAGATCAACCTCTATTTTTTATGAAGTCCTTCTATGTGATTTGTGGTCAGGGTGGCTAGTTTATAACCTAGAGTTTTTCTATGATCAGCAGAAACTTTACTATTGGGGAGGGGGTAGGAATCTCCTTCTAACCACTTCCCTATTTATTGCAAGGAAAAAACCCCATTCATTTCTAAAAATGCATAGGCAGCCATCCCCATTTGGAGCATTGTTCGTGTATTGTGGGTTTTTTTTGGAGGGTCTCCTGACTGGTGTTGTCCTTTTGCAGGTGCATCCCGCAACATGTCATTGATGCACTAATAGTGCATGAGTGGTGAATCTATAATGGACTGTCTACACACATCATTCCACATTATTAGCAGTTCTGCAAAGCTTCCCCAGCATTGCCACCTTATTGCCCCCTGGAGGGGCACTCTTGCACTATAGCACAATAGAAGCAGGGCAACAAACACACCCCAGGGCATTTATGCAGGATTTCAACAGGAAGTGATGAACAAAGCAGGATGTCTGCCCTGAAACCTATTGAAAGTGGGATCCTGGATCATAGAACTGTAGAGTTGGAAGGGACCCAAGGGTGATCTAATTTAACCCCCTCCTGCAATACAAGAATAGCTGCTCCAGTAATATCATGAGAGCAAACCATCACAAGTGCACAATAAAAATGACATCTAGGCTCCCCTCCTTAAATATGGGTATTTCTATACCTTCGTTGAAAAGAAAAGTAAGCTGTCATTCCCACAGCATATTTTTCATTTGTTCTCTTCACTTATCTTATTTTTATCAATATTCCCCCAGAACACCACAGGATGGGCTTTATTCACTCTCATCTTTCATTTCCACCTATGTATTTCAGGATGATTACAGATAAAAGACTGCCTGCTAGTTGTTTTCTATTATTTGTTTCTAAGGTGTCTGTTCTGTTTTCCTTGCCAATGAAACTCTCTTGACAGCTTATTGAAAATGGCAAATTGCCGACTTATAAAATTGGTGGTGGCAGTGACTAGCATAATGGAGTTCTTTTGACAATATTGGCCATGCGCAGCATGTAAGAAGCAGTGTGGTGCAGTGGTTAGAGTATCATACTAGGTGGTGCTGGTTCCAGGTTCTGCAGGCTGTGGGGCAAAACACCCTCCATGGCACCCTCCCTCTTGGAGATTTACCTCCTTACTGCAGTTGTCACCGGCAGCCGCTACCCATTTGCTTGCCAGGCAGAGAGCCAATCACCAAGCAGGCAGTCGTACCGACTGGGCCACCTTCTCCCACTACCATGGCCTGGGCCAGAGTGAGATTTGGGTCAGCAGGCAGGTTGCAAGAGTAAAGAGGAGGAGCTCTTGGCAGTGAGGTGTGGTCCACTTGTTGTTGTTTAGTCGTGTCCGACTCCTCGTAACCCCATGGACCAGAGCACTCCAGGCACTCCTGTCTTCCACTGCCTCCCGCAGTTTGGTCAAACTCATGCTGGTAGCTTTGAGAACACTGTCCAACCATCTCGTCCTCTGTCGTCCCCTTCTCCTTGTGCCCTCCATCTTTCCCAACATCAGGGTCTTTTCCAGGGAGTCTTCTCTTCTCATGAGGTGGCCAAAATATTGGAGCCTCAGCTTCACGATCTGTCCTTCCAGTGAGCACTCAGGGCTGATTTCATTCAGAATGGAGAGGTTTGATCTTGCAGTCCATGGGACTCTCAAGAGTCTCCTCCAGCACCATAATTCAAAAGCATCAATTCTTCGGCGATCAGCCTTCTTTATGGTCCAGCTCTCACACAGCAGCTGCCAAACCATGCTTGATGTGAGCTGGGACAAACATGCATCAACTGAGTGGTGATTCAAGTCTGGAAGGGTCCTTGCGACTTCTGGGCACCATCTTCGTGAACAATCTTCTTCTCCCCCCAGACTGTGCTAGGCAGGATCCTGCTCTTTTGATTCCCAGCAGAAGCTGTGCTCAAGCAGCACCGATTGGCTGCCTCTTGTGTCGCTCGCGAAGCCACACCCTCCTCCGTCCCCACAACTGGTCTGTGCAGAGCGTTGGTTGTTAGGCGAGTAGCCTCTCCCTGTCCCTGGAGCATCGGTAAACCGGGCAGGAAGGAAGAGCACTGAGCAAATGTTTCAGCAGAAAAGCATGCAAGGCACTTGGAAAGAAAACAAACAAGATGGACAGCATGTCTGATGGTGCTGCAGGTGGCAAGGGCACTGATGGATCCAGAGGCTGTGCTGTGCAAGAGTGAAAGCAAGAAAAGCCTGGTTAAAGTATTTGTCCATTTAGTCCAGCATTGCTTGCTCCAGCCTTTCCCAACACGGTGCCGTTTGCTTTTTTGGAACTACGATTCTCATTAGCATGCTGGCTGTGGCTGATGAGAGTTGTAGTCCAACGCATCTGGAGGGTGCCAGGTTGGGGAAGCTTGATTTGCTCCAAGTGACAGCAACTCAGGTAGGGATGGGGGATACAGATCACTTCAGTATGCATTTCAAAGCAAACTTACATCATTTGTACTTCCTGAACTGAACTGCAGCTTCCCTTCAAAATTAACGTTTCTCTGAATTTTGCAAGGTGGTTCTCCAGTCCAGTAACGTCTACAAAATTGCATTTACTGGGGTAAAATGTGCATCAAAATGCATATATACATATAAATACACACACACACACACACACACACACACACACAAATATGTGTGTGTGTTAAAACAACATTGAAAAATTAATTGTATTGGAGGGGAAACATTTTCTGTCATGTGTAGTGTTGTGCATTGAGTCAAAGGATTTTATATCTGTATTATTATTGTCTGTATTTGCATTAGGGTAAAGTAACTGCCTTTTGGTTCCAGAGGGTACAGCTACTATTGGTTCATTTAAGCTGCTGTATTTGGATCCTCTGTCTTATTGGTACCATCCAAAAGGCAGGACTGTGATTGCCTGATATTGTTCCCTCCAAAATGTATCCTTTCTTGCTAGTTCCCTGTCCCTATAAATGTAGCTTTCTCTCCCTAGTCTTCAGTCTTGTTGCTTTAATAAAGAAGTGTTACTAGAGAACTGTCTCCAGCATGTTATATCAGGAGAGCTGAAATCACAAACCCCACGTCACAACAACTGGCGACGAAGGTGGGATCCGGAATGCTGAGGAGCGGTTAAACGCAGCCCTGCCTCAGAGTCCGGATTGCAGCTAAGAACAAGACTCACTGACCAGCTGAGAAGACGACCCTGCCACAGGACAATGGAGAGTCCAAGGGTATTGGAGCCCTTCCAGCCATCAGAGCCCGACACGTGGGAAGACTACGTCGAACGCTTCGAGTTCTTCGCAGAGGCTCAAGGGATCACCGATGCCAGCAAAAGAAGGGCCACATTCCTGAGCTACTGTGGGCCTGAGACCTTCAAGCTGGCCAAGGCATTGCTTGCTCCAGCGAAGCTAAGTGAGACATCTCTCAAAGATATTCTTGCCTGCCTAACAAGCCACTTGGCGCCTACTGAGACCAAGATGGCTCGGCGGATGGAGTTTCATAAGAGGCAGCAGCATGCTGGGAGTCTGTATCTGCATTTCTGGCTGAACTGCGGAAGCTCGCTCAGCACTGCGACTTCCAAAATCTGGAAGAGACTCTCCTGGATCGGTTTATCGGTGGTCTGAGCAGCAAGAAGGCCAGAAGACGCATCGTGGCTAAAGAAGAGGTTACCCTTGCTTCAGCCTTGAAGGAGGCCACCGCCACGGAGAATTATGAAAGAGAGGAGCTTGATGCCAGTCGCAAGGCCCCTAAGCCACAGATAGAAGTTGCGCATGCCATGGACGAGCTAGAGGCTACCCGAGCCAGAGCCCAGTCCGTGGGGTCGAGTCAGTGAGTCAGGCCTGCACAGTGCACAAAGATCACCGAGGCAGGTGCCCAGGTTGTGGCGGAAACCATGAGCGGAAGAGTTGTCGCTTCCGGGATGCTATGTGCCGGACGTGCGGGAAGACAGGTCACATCGCCAGAGTCTGTAGATCGGCGGCGTTGGGAGCGACAGGAGCACCTAGACCGGAGCATCGCAGACCGCCCGCAGCAACCCATTTTCTAAAGGACTGCCACTACGCTACGGAGATCAAAGGGAGGGTCGTGCAGGTCCCTGCACAAGGCAAGGCACACGTCAAGGTGAAGATTGAGGGTCAGCAGTGCGACATGGAGGTGGACTCGGATCTGGATTCACTATCGTGTCGGACCAGACCGCGAGGACATTCTTCCCCAGGGGTGTTGCCCCTCTGGAACCCTTCCCGGCAACCTTGCAGTCATACTCAGCGGGCCGCATCCATGTTATGGGAATGTGTGCCGTGAGAGTACAGTTCCGGGACAAACAGGCTGTACTCAAACTGGTGATTGCGAAGGGCAGTCGCCCCAGTCTCCTGGGCACTGACTGGTTCCCCGCCCTGGGACTGAGTATATCAGGGCTTAATTCAATCCAAACCTGCCCTGAGATGAGCGAGGCATTATGCAAAGAATTTGCTGGTCTCTTTAATGGAAAACTGGGTTGTTATAAAGGGCCCCCAGTTGACTTCGAGTTGGACCCTGGGGTGGCCCCAATCCGACTCAAACCAAGGCGAGTGCCATTTGCACTGCAACCCAAGATCGAAGCAGAGCTGGATAAATTGGTCAAGCAGGGAGTTCTCTCACCCGTGGACTCTGCTAAGTGGGAGACTCCAATCGTCACGCCCTTAAAGCAAATGGGGAAGTCAGGATCTGTGCAGATTACAAATGTACTATCAATAAGGCACTCAGGGGAAACTCATACCCCATTCCAGTCGTATCACATCTGTTGGCTAAACTGGCTGGGGGCAAGGTGTTCGCCAAAATTGACCTGGCACAAGCTTACCAACAGCTGCCAGTAACCCCACAATCAGCGGAAGCACAGACTATTGTCACACATAAAGGGGCGTTCAGAGTTAACAGATTACAATTTGGAGTTTGTGTGGCCCCAGGGATTTTTCAAGGGCTCATGGAACACCTGTTAAGAGGTCTGCCGGGGTCTTGCCATTTTTTGATGACGTTTGATTGCTGGAAAAGACCCACAGGAACTGGTTGCGCGTGTTCGTGCAGTGTTGCTCAAGTTCAAGGAGGTGGGGTTGCAACTGAAAAAGGAAAATGCAGTTTTGGGGTGCCAACTGTGGATTTCTTGGGGTTTAAAATTGATGCATCAGGCATCCACCCCACAGATGCTAAGATTAAGGCCATCATCGAGGCGCCACGACCACAGAACAAGACGGAGTTGCAGTCATTCCTGGGACTTATTAACTTTTATCATTCTGCTCTACCCCAGAAAGCTTCGGTAGCTGAACCATTACATAGACTGTTGCAGAAAAAGACTGTGTGGCGATGGGGGCAGGGGCAGCAGAAGGCTTTTGACTCCTTGCGAGGAATGCTGAGTAGCAGGAGTGTCCTTGCTCATTATGACGAGTCAAAGCCTCTGGTCCTGGCATGTGATGCCTCTCAATACGGCCTGGGGCGGTGCTAAGTCATAGGGAACCGGATGGGTCGGAAAAGCCCATCTCTTTCTATTCCCGTACGTTGTCGCCCACGGAGCGCAACTATGCTCAAATTGACCAAGAGGCGCTTGCAATTGTGGCAGGTATCAAAAGTTCCATGATTATGTGTACGGTCGCCATTTCTACATTGAAACGGACCACAAGCCACTGTTCGGGTTGTTCAACCCTAACAAACAAACGCCACAAATCCTCCCCCCACGAATGTTACTTTGGTCTATATTCCTGAACGGGTTCCTGTACACCTTGACCCTTGTGCGGGGTAAACGGTGGTGCCACGCGGATGCGCTGAGTCGACTGCCCCTTCCCGGCGGGAGCACTGAGGATCCTGCTCCAGCGGAGCACATAATGATGCTGGAAACACTTCCAGGGGCTCCTGTAACGGCTACTGATATAGCTGAGAAAACGAGGAAAGATGCTGTTCTCTCCCGTGTGCTCACTCTGGGTGGGGAGGGGTGGCCAGGTGGTCCGCATGAAGACAAATTCAGGCCTTATGCGACTAGGCAGCACGAGTTGTCCATGCATAAGGGTTGTCTCCTGTGGGGAGATAGGGTCATCATCCCAGCACCACTGAGAAACAGGGTTCTTGAGACGCTTCACATGGGACACCCGGGAATGGTCAGGATGAAGTCGCTAGCCCGATGTTATGTGTGGTGGCCTGGAATGGACCAGAACATAGAACAATGGGTACGAACATGCAAGGCATGCCAAGAGGTGCGGCCAGAAGTGGCCAGAGCACCAGTCCACTGGTGGGAGCAGTCCAGATCCCTGGAGCCGGCTGCACTTAGATTTTGCTGGGCCATTCCAAGGAAAGGTCTTTTTGGTTATCGTTGATGCATATTCCAAATGGTTAGAAGTGGCGATGGTCCCTAGCATGGCATCAGCTGCCGTCATCAAGGTGTTGAGGCAGCTGTTTGCAACCCACAGGTTACCTGGAGACCATTGTATCAGATAATGGGGCAGCTTTTGTATCCCAAGAATTCAGGGCATTCTTGGCTGATAACTTCATAAGAGGGGTCACATCCGCGCCCTTTCACCCATCCTCCAATGGGCAGGCTGAGCGCATGGTAAGAACAGCCAAAGAATCCATTGCGCGCTTAATGGAGGGTAACTGGTCAGCTCGCATCGCGCGAATGTTATTTTTGCAGCATGCGACGCCGTGTACCGCAACGGGCAAGTCGCCAGCTGAGCTGCTCTTGGGTAGGAGACTGGTAACGGTGCTGGATTATGTCCACCCGGATAAAATGCCAAACCATAATTCAAGAGCAACCCCCCAGGCTGAGACTGACACAACAAGGTATCTCGCCCTGAAGATCTGGTCTGGGTGAGGAACTATTCACGAGGTTCGCGGTGGGTGGCTGGTGTGGTCACCCGGGCTAGTGGACCTGTGTCCTATTATGTGACCTTGGAAAATGGGCAAGTGTGGAAGAGACATATAGATCAGCTGAGGCGCCGGGCGCTCAGCAGGGAGGAGCCAGATAATTCATCCCAGGCTAACGACGCAGAGCCGCAAGACCAGAGTGAAAATGGCCCAGAGGTGCAATCACCAGGGGCTTTAACAAATGAACCAGGGTCTGCTAGTCCTCACGATGACGAGGTACAGATAGGGGACCCTGAGATGTCGGGGACTCCATCTGTTCCTGACGAAACCCCTAGAGCAGCCCCTCTACCACAGGTAACACCCAATCCAGAACCTGCAACACCTGTTGTCAGGAGATCAAGTAGAAGTTGTAGGCCCCCACAGTACCTGAGAGATTACGTCTGCTGTGCTCACTAGGGGGGAAGGGGTGTTGTGTATTGAGTCAAAGGATTTTATATCTGTATTATTATTGTCTGTATTTGCATTAGGGTAAAGTAACTGCCTTTTGGTTCCAGAGGGTACAGCTACTATTGGTTCATTTAAGCTGCTGTATTTGGATCCTCTGTCTTATTGGTTCCCTCCAAAAGGCAGGACTGTGATTGCCTGATATTGTTCCCTCCAAAATGTATCCTTTCTTGCTAGTTCCCTGTCCCTATAAATGTAGCTTTCCTCTCCCCAGTCTTCAGTCTTGTTGCTTTAATAAAGAAGTGTTACTAGAGAACTGTCTCCAGCATGTTATATCAGGAGAGCTGAAATCACAAACCCCACGTCACAACATGTATATTGTGCAAAATAGCATATTAAACTGCATATATTAGGGGAAATTTGCACCAAAATACTGATCAATTTTCATGAGCACTTGAAAAAGGAAATCACAGACTGATGTGCAAATATGGAGAACAGAACTTAAGACTGCAAAATGGAGAAATGGAAGGAAACTAAAAGTGACAGATTCATCCCTCTCAAGCAGCAAAATTTTCCCTCCCCACAGCTGCAACCAGAGCTTCTTTCAGCTGAGCAATGGCCCCTTCTGCATGCAAAGTACCTGCTTTCTACCACTGAGCAACAGAAAAAGTCACACCTTGGGAAGAGCGTGCAAAAATACAATTGTGAAGGAAAGCCAAAGGCAGTGGGGGGGGGTAGTATTATGTTATCCTTTGGAAAAGCTTTCACAGGAGACATGGAATCGAGGATGGATGCTGTAGGAAAGTCATGATGATCCATCATCTTGGGACTGAAAGCACTCAGCTTGAAATATTAAAAAGGCAAGCTGAGGAGCTAGGCAAAGTCAACAAGAACTTGCAAAATAAGACAGGGGCCTTTAAAGGAGCTGGAAGAGGAAGAAAAGCACAAGGATTATTGTTAATAATAATAATAAGTTGACGATGTTTTTAGGTAAGCAAGTTTATGAGAAAACAAATCAATGAAGAAATATTAAAATTTTAAAAATCTAAAGAGTGTGCCTATTTAATGTGCTCGATTCAGTGCACCATGGATGCAGCCTTTGTAAGCAGAGAGAAATCCCATGCTGCATAACAGGTTTGTCTTCAACTCGCTACTCCCTAGAGTAAGGTTACTGTAACTTCTGTCATAGAGCTTCAGTATGCTGATGACAACATAGTGTGTGCACGCTCGCAGGATGACCTCCAAACCATCCTAAATATCTTCTCAGAAGCTTATGAAAAGCTTGGCCTATCACTCAACATCCAAAAAACCAAAGTGCTGCACTAAGCAGCACAAAACAACCCCTCTGCAGCACCAC